GCAGTGTATCTGGGCTCTCCCTTAGAGACAGGGTCAAGGGGAGCCAGTTCAGGTGGCCTGGGCATCTGGTTAGGATGCCCTCTGGGCGCCTCCGTGGTGAGGTGTTCCGGGTACGTCCCACCATGAGGAGACCCAGGGGGAGACCCAGGACATGCTAGAGGGACTATGTTTCTCAGCTGGCCTGGGAATGCCTTTGGATTCCCCAGGAGGAGAAGGTCCAAGTGGCTGGGGGGAGGGACGTCTGGGCCTCCCTACTGAAGCTGCTTACCCTGCGACCCAACCCCGGATAAGCAGAAGAAGGTGATGGATGGATCTTTCCTAGATCAGCCATTTTCAAACCTTGGGGTTGCGGAATGACCCCTGAGGGTCGCCAAATTATTACAGAAATATATAAATGTGCAAAATTAATATAGCTTCTGATTGGACATTAATAGGAAAGCAAGTCTCAATGATTATTACTCAAAACCATTTACTTTCGGCCACCAAACAACAGTAATGAACCTGTCCAGTAAAGTCACAGTAAGAGAAAGCTGGAGTGATGGGCTGTGCGAGTGGATTGGGGAAATGTTGAAATGTTCCTGGAGTTTGAGGACTTTATGGGGCATTATGACATAACCATTCAAACTATGAAACAAATGATTGCCTCTCACCTGAGGAGCCTGCTTGATTGAATTATGACAGGCCAGAAAAGTACAACTAGATGCGCCAGCCTTTAACCACCTCCATTACACATCACCTGTCATCAGAGCTGCATGATGCCCTGCTCGATATCTCATCTGATCGCACATTACAGTTCGCTAGTTCTCTACATGTACGCTGGAAGAGTTCTGGTTGTCAGTAGCAACAGAGTACACAGCACTTTCAAAAGATACAACTGTTGTGTTGTTTCCATTTGCATCCACATATCTGCATGAAAAGACCTTTTCTTCGCTGACACACATGAAAAGCAAATACAGAGCACGACTCCTCAGAGTTGAGAGTGATCTCCGCTTGGCCGTTTCTAACATGAAGCCAAGAAGCTGCTCTGTTCAAACAAGGAGGCCCAGCCGTCACTTTAAATAGTTGCAGAAAAACATCTCTGCTTTTGACCAGGAAGTTATTTTTCATGTTTAGGCTCCCAGAGACATAGAAGCTTAAAATTATACATGGACTGTTTTGTATTGTGTTTTGTTGAAGTTTAGCACATGCCCTTATTGTTTAAATTGATCAAAAATAAAAAGTTTTCCTTATTTGGTTACATTTTACCCACAAAATGATGGGATGAAGCAACCTTTGTTGGTCTGTTCAGAAAGTTAGCCACTTGATGCTCCATCATCTTTCTAAAAAATCCCAGTGTGTTACAACATAAGATGATAAAAAGATAATGTAGCTGAAGGGATTTCATAATTACTTGTCTGATTATGTAAATGAAATGTATAAGCATAATGACCGGCATTGAAACAGGGTGTCACAGACAGCAGTGCATGTTAAATTGGAGGTTGCGACTCGAAAAGGTTGAGAGCCACTACCATAGATTAAACTCTTAGGGAGCTCTAACTGCCATTACCTATAGCATGATTTAACCTATTATTTTATTTTCTGGCACACTTTTTTATTGTTCAGCTGGCCATTTATTAAGCACAGCTAATGGCTTAACACGTGGGAGACATCTCTCCATTTATTTCCTTAAGCCTGTACATGTACACTTGCAGACCTGGGCTTGTGACTTGTTATAAGAAAGTTGAAAAATGTTTAACTTTAGATGCTGTCCAGTGAAATGAGAGAATGCTAGACACCGCAATCTAAAACCATGTTCAACATAAAAAGTATACTATATACTATTGTATATAGAAAGTATACTATGGCTGTGCCTGACTTTCCTATGATTTTAGTCAATTCCAGCAAAATCTTCTGATTCTTTGTCCTTGATGCCATGTCTGTGACAGCCTGCTTTGAAAATATTAAAATCCCAACATTTCCTAAATTGAATTCTCACAATTAAAGTCCTAAATAACCAAGTTCTGTCTTATATCATGCTCTGATTGTTCCTTATGTTCCTAGAACACATTACTTACAATCTGCATGTTTACTAGTGTTTCCTAATACGCCTGGGAGGCAGATCTTTTAGTTATCATGCTACTCTCCTTTGGAACCAAAAAACAGTTTTAGTCTGAGGCAGAAGCAGCTGTCTACGTTTAAGCATAGACTTAAAACTTTCCTTTTTGATAGAGCTCTTAATTACAGGCTGTTTATGCTGAGCTATCTTTGTAGTTATTCTGCTATAGACTTAAGCCACTAGATTACATAGGGATAGCTACATCAATCTGATAGATTCTACTAGTATTCTTCCATTCAGAATTATTTTTTTAGTTGAACCTCTAACTGTATGTCCTCTTTCATCAGTTTGACATGAAAACTGGCTCAGAGCTTATTTTCTTGTTTCTCTCCCAGACATGGCCATCCCAGGAGCTAGTTTACTGTGACAATTTTGAAGAAAGTATTAACGGATCCATGTTAATATGTTCATTTTGTATGTCTGCTTCTCTCTCCTTGAACCCCCAGTTGACCTTGGCAGAAGGGCAATCATAGTCAATCTGGTTCTGCTGGAGGTTCGTTCCTATTAAGGGGGAGTTTTTTTCTTGCCCACAGTCGCTGCATACATGCTCGATGTGAGGGATTGTTGTACAGTCAACAAAAAAATGTTTTGCAAGTCATTGACCCAATGCAATCAGATGGTTTTCCTTAGAAAACTTTGAATCAATCTTTGTATTTAAATTGTCTCTGTTAAGTGCCTTGAGATGAATTGTTGTGAATCTGCGCTATAAAGTAAATTGAATTGAACTTATTAACCAATTAGGCTTCTTGAAGAAGAGCCCTGGGAGAGCGATTCCAAACATAGCTTTTGCTATCACTTCCTGTGTGCCACATTTCACAAGCCTTTTATAGGGAGATCATTATGGTCATTAAGTAGAGTTTTAATCTTTTCAGTAAAGGTAGCACTTGTTTATTTACAACTCCTCCTCGAGGTCATTGGAAATGCTACGATTGTGTTTTTTTCCTCCCCACTGAGTGTTCCTTCGGCTCAGGAGTCAAGTTGTCTTTCTTTGTGCAAAGACACAGATAATATCCTTTTATTTTCAGTGAAACTATTCTTGACCCTGCTTCTCTTTCTTGAAAGGAGTTACCAACTAACCTTTTCCCTGAGCTATTACTGTACTTTCATGGCAACCACCACCCCCTTACAGGAGAACAGAAAACCTCACCTGTTTAGCCAGGCCAACAATCCCCTTTAACGACTTGCCTTTCAGAGATATCGAAAGGTTTCGGGAAATCCACTCTTTAAAGCCTCAAACTCGCCTTTTCTGACATTTTGAATTGAAAAAGCTTCCTGAATGGGAAGCAAAACTTCTTCAAACTTAACTTTTTTGAAATTACTGTACTTTGTATTAAACATTTTTTTTTCCCCAGAAAGTAGTCCTTTGTTTATTATCTTTTCCATTAATATATGATGCTCAAATTTGCTGTTTTTTTTTTTTCTTCTAACGTTCCCAGAGACTAACTTTGAAAGCTTTTTTTCTACCCCCATGGAAATGTCCCAACATAAAGCTTTTCTCATCCCTGTGCTTTCAAACCGCAGACGGGTGCTGGTGGATCCTCATACAGAGCCTGGTTCTCCCACAGTTCTTCCGCATTACCACAAAGTCTCAATGTTGCTGGTAAGGTTTCCTCAGCTGATGTTTAACCAATTGAAAATAGGAAGTTTAATTTGACGCATTGTTTTTAAGTTCTCTGTCTACTAGAAGCCTACTAGTTACGAAGCAGGGCATCTGTATCCTGGAGAGGCTGGAAGATAGCCTTTTAAATGCTCCGATTATCACTTTCTGAGGAAGCCCCTTAACACCACAATGCTCCCCATATGCTGGTAACTCCTCAATCTTCCCTAAAGTACGGGTTAAATGCAGCAACATAATTTATTGGTCACATCCAGCAGCAATGTCAAATAAAGGTGATTAAAACAAAGATGCAGAGCAGTTTGACAAACGTTTCATATACTGGGGTTTCTTAGAGCAAACACACTAGGATTCATATATGACATCTTACAACATGAGCTGCTTTGCACCATAGACCCAGGATTATTCTAAGGGTTCCTACGAAGTAGTTAAAATCTTTACATGTTAGAATATGACTATCCCACTAAGATGACCTAATTGCACAGTTATGCAAACAGCACAAAATAAAATTTATTTTATAGAATCAGACCCAAAACATCAGAGGAAATAAAGATTGCCATGTTCTCCTGCAGTAATTTTAATAAGCATATTTAAAGGATGCATATTTATCAGCCCAATGATGTTCTTGTTTTGCATTCCAGTTCTATTTTATGAGCACAGGATGAAGATGGAATCTCCATTTCTTGAACACTTTTTACTGCTTGTTGTGTCTGAACTACAGTGATTTCCACACCAGCGCCATGGTCTTTATGCTTTTATGGAAGAAAACTATAAAACAATGGAACCTGTTTCTGGGCATTCATTAAGCACATCGATTGAATTCCTTTTTTCCATTAACCAAGCCTCTTGTGTTGGCATTGTATTCTAGTGCTAAATATCTCATTAATCTAGAATCTTTCAGACCAAAATCATTTACTTCATAATTAAAAGTTCCTCCTGGGCCACACTCTGGTTCTAACTTTCTTATACCTCATCCAAAATGCTTACGTTTTCCTAAGCTATTTTCTGCATTTGTGCTGCTATAGACTTGGACTGCTGGATGATAGGGACCCCTTTTCATCATTCCTTCTCAATTCTCCCATTCTACAGTATTTGTTTGTTCAATCTCTAACTTTATACTCTTTTCCTCATCATAGCTTCATCTGGTCCCGTTTGTCTGTGACACCATCCTGGAGGGGTGTCAGCTGTAATGCTGCCATCAACACTTTTGTTTGTGGATGTCAGAGCTTGGCCTGTTTTTCAGTGTAGTCCTGTTTCTCCGACGGTGACTACCAGTATGTGCTCTGCTTCATTCTCTGACATGGAAGCTAGCTCGGAGCTCATCTGCCTGGCTGTGTGTTTCCTGGGCGGAGTCGCCTGTGGAGCTGATGGACAGTTGCCTTTTGTATTTCTGCTTTTTTTATTCTATGTCTGCTTACTTGAACACCAGTCTGCCTCGGCAGATGGCCGCTCACACTGAGCCTGATTCTCCTGGAAGTTTCTTCCTGTTAAAAGACATTTTTCCTCTCCACTGTCGCTACAAGCATGCTTGGTGTGAGGGATTGCTTTCAAGAAAATTAGTCTGACTGTATGATCTAGTTGTAAAGTGCCTTGAGATGACATATGTTGAGAATTGGCGCTATATAAACTGATTGAATTGAATAAATATGAGTCTCTCTGGGGTTAAACTTCATAATTCAAACTATAAAAACACTTTATTTGCATGGCACCTTGAATACTTCATAAGCAACTCGTTGTGCCATAGCATCATAAAACTATGTACATTAAAAAAGCACTTGAAAGAAATGGAGGAGGAAAAGAGTAAAACTGTACATGTCTTTTAAAATATCCTTAAGATACAAGTGGTTGTTTTTTGCTCTGCGCAGAGTCGAGCTCTTGCCCCTGTGTCACGCCATCATGCCCATTGTCTGCTCACACCGGTCGGCTGATGTTGTTCTGGAAAAAGTCTTTTAGGCCACCAAAGCCCTGGGTGAACAGAAACTCCAGGTACCAGCTCCATGGCTTGGCTTGCTGAAACACACACAAGGAGTCACATCAAAAACATCTGAAGGATTGTTTGATCAAAGATACATGAATAATGTGCACTAACACTACATAAGAAGTCTTAAATAAGCAAAGAATATGGGGAAAAAAGAAAAACTCTGTTATACCTTGATGGAATTAAGGTCCATGTCCTTTCTGCCTGGCCAACACTGATAAAGACAGAAGATGAATATTCAGTGACAGAAATCTGTGGGAAATCTCACAAAATAGCTGCTTCAAAAGCTGTAGGCCAAACCCTTCCTAAAAAGGTGTATGTGTATTATTAAAGACCTTAAAGGGCAGCCATTAATAATACAAAATCCCTATGGATTAATGTTTCATCTTTGAAGGATACATTAAACCTCATTTGTCTTGCTTGTAGGTCTTTTTGGTAAAGTGCACACCAAGCCTGCATGCTAATTTATCAAAACAACTGTCAGGGTTCCTGCACATTTTACATGTTAAAAACTCCATGTTCCAGAAGTGTAGTTCATTTAAAACGGAAAATATTGCAGTTAGGGCACATATTTTTACAACCTGCAAAGAACAGAAACTGGGGGAAAGACGAGAAGGAACTGAGGAAGGAGATTAGGAAGAGTTATGGAAATAAATGAGCAAGGAAGAGAGAAAAGGGAAAAGAAAGGGAGAAGGAAAGAGAAAACAAGAGGGGAGGAAGATGAGTGGAGAAAAAATGGGAAGGAAACAATGAAAGGAGGGAATTGAGGGAGAAATAAAAGGAAAGGAATATGGGAAAGAAAGGGACATACGGACAAAAAGATGAGAAGAAGGAATCAAAGGATAGAAATAACAGAAAAAGGCACAACATTTAGAGTGGGACAAGGAATAAAATCTGGTGGATGTGTATATTGGAAAAAAAATCTAAATCTAGATAGTTAATTTTTTCTTAAAATGAGTGCGTTTGTTCTTGGATTAAGGAGGTGAAAAAACATTTTGCCAATGGAACAAGAAACTTTACACTTAAAACAAGAAAACACAATTACATTTAAAGAGTAAAAATACTAATTCCATCTTATTTACCCACTCAAATTAGAGGTAAACACACTTAATTTCAGATATTTTCACTCATTTTTAGATAGTTGTTCCGATGTATTCCTAACTTTCACTTCCAGACCTGTGCAGATCACAAAAACACTGAATTCCAATTCTCTACTTTCAGAAGCTCATTGTGGAGCCTGAGCTGTGAAGCAGGTCTCTTTAAACAGGATCTCAGATTAAATGAAGCATACCAACCTTCTGGTGAAACTCAACAGCGTACATCATGAAAGCTGGGTGGTGGATGAGGTCGAAGCGCATCCAGGGCTGTGGGACGCCGCTCTTCGCGAGCAGTTCCTCTGAAAGCTGTATATCAGTTTCTGGACAACGCATGCTGGAGTTCCACAGGCAGTTGACCATAAACGCCAGGTAGTTGTTGAACTCCTGGTAAGTCTGACGGCTGATGTGAAAGGCATGCTGAGGAAGGGAAAACGCACAGATGGATGGTGATTAGCTTACTTCCCATTTACATTTTTTCCTTACGAAAATGTTCCAGAGGCATTTGCAGGCCAGCTGACCAGCAGAGGTAAACCTGCTTCAAATCAGAGCTCACAGGAACACATGTGCTGAAATAAACATTATTAAATTCTCATCTGAGAAGAGATTACAGTTATCAGGTTTACGCAGACGGGTCCCTGAAAAGCGGGACTGACTTGCTGAATATAAAACATCTACCCAGGATTCTAGAACAACAGCTGCATTAATGACACCAAACTCAGCTGAGTGAAATATAAGCCATACAAGCTGTGATCCACAGATTTGTTTCCTTACACTGGTCACTTTCTCCTGACTCTTGGCCGACGTCAGGTTCATTTTGTACCTACAGAAAACAGAAAAGAAATCTCTGGTTAAACATCCCTCCAAGGCTCAAACAGGAATAAGAGAAAATAATATAGCAGGTTTTATTGGGATTACAATACAATTAGTAAATAGTTTTTGCAGACAACAAAGATGATGCTCTAAAAAATTACATATTTTAGAAACTTTTTTGGTATAAAAATTTATTTTTATCACTAAATTGCTAATGATGATGCAACTGAGAGCTAACTCATCTATTATACTTCACCACTGTTACCAACAATCAAAGTACTGTAGAATTATTTTAAGGTAACAATGGCTCCTCCTTAAATAGAAATCCAATCCAAATGTCCTTATGATATATCATTGAGTGAAAAATATACTTTAATTCTACATATAAATATAGATATTTTTCAACACGTGTCATGTTACAACCCCAGTCAGAATGTAATTTATGGGGGCCTTATGGTGAAATGATAAAAGGTTTTTGAATTTGACAAAACAGTTTGATTTCAGCTGTTCTGTGAGGAAGGGGCTCTGATCAGTTGAAGCCTGGAGGTCATGGGTTTGTGATCCCTTTGGTGTAACATGGTGGTGGCAGCATAAAGGAGCGGGATCATTTTTCTTCAACGTCAGAGCCAGTAGAAGATGGATACAGCCACAATCAAATAGTTCAAGTCAAAGCTAGGGTTGTCACGATACTAAACTTTTCAACTCTATACCGATACTAAGGAAAATATTCGATACTCGATACCACAAGAATAAAAACAAAGACCTCAAAATTCTTCAGAAATATTTTCATTAATAAATAAAATACAATAAATAAATACAGGTGCCACTGGAGGTGGCACTGTATCGATACTTTTAAAAACGAGTATTGTATCCAGATACAACGTTTCAGTATCGATACTTTTGACAACCCTAGTCAAAGCATATTCATGACAGAATCAGTGCAGACCTAAAAAATATGAATTTATGGGAAAAACTAGAGGATCATACTCTTTGTCTGACCTTTTTAAAAAGAAGAATGGTCTAAATTGTATTTTCTATAAATATATGAAGAGCTGATAATGAGATACCCTTAAGATGAAAAAATAAGGATTTTTTTCGCCCTAAACTTCACAACACTGCACAACAACTTTGTGCTAATCCGTCACATGAACAGTAAAATATTGGAAAACTGTGGTTATAACTCCATAAATGTGGAAAAGTTCATGAAGAAAAACAAAAACACTTATAACGAGCTTCCACCAGATGCAAGGAAAGAAAAAAAAAAAAAAAAGGCCCAAACCTGTTCATGATGTAGGCCAGTCTGTCCAAACTGACCGGGTCAGTGGCAAACATAGCGGGGTAAAAGACGCCTGGAGGAGGCATGACCACCAGGGGAAGGCCAAACTTCAGGAAGGTGTCACACACCTGAGAAAGAAGAGAGAATTGATGCACCAGTTCATACTCCTAACAAAGCTTTCGCCACGAGTCTGTGAAGCATCCTAAATTCTGATGTGTTCTTTGATGTAAAGCCAAATAGTGCTGCGATCCATTTAGCTCAAAGTCAGTTCTCAGATCGGGACATTGTCTTGTATCCAGTTTAATCAAGCTCCAGTTGGAAGTTAGAAAACCAAAAGGGATTTCACTTTTTTCTGAGCTGCCAAACAACTTAGTGAACACAGGCTGATAGCAGTGTGTGATATATGCATACAAACAATGCTTACGTGTTAAATATAAAGCCCTGTGTGTGACTGATGTGTAGGAAAACAATATGCCGATTTACAGCTCCAGTTTTATTCACATTAGAATATTTAAGTTTATGGTCCCACTGTCTGCTTTTATCATGTGTTCATCTTTACTTGCTTTTATTTATCTTCTATTTTACAGTTTAATTCATGTAAAGCACTTTGAACTGGATTTGCACTCAATTGTACAAGACAAACTTGCCTTGCCCAATTTATATCTTTAAGTTTTGTTCTAGTAGATTTTTCTAACTAGCAAGTCCAACGAAATAAAAACATCTTTAGATTTTGTTTTCCTGTCTTATTCCGCCTTATTTCTACAGCTTTTTTTCTCCAGCTCACAGGGCTCTGACACACTTTCCCTTCCAATATTATTTAGACTATGATAGAAAATATATTTAGAGTTCTCAGGAATTAAAAATGTAAATTAATCAGCAACTGAATATCTGATGACATGAATGAATCATAATAGAAAACAAACAAATTCTTGTATATTTCCCTCATTTATAAAGACTTGAAAATAGCTTAATCTCTGATGTAAAATGAGCTGTAGGTGTTAACTACTTCTATTAACAGTTGGTATATCATTAAACCAGTGCTGTACAATATAAGTCAGTGAACGTGCTCTATTTATGTTTAAACGTGTAATTAGCAAGAAAACAAACAAGTCGTCTGTTTTCAGCCTTACAACCAGAGCTCTCAATAGGACCAACCAAATAGATAACAGGTTTAACTAGTAAAAGCTGACCATAATGATAAGGAAACACCTTTACACTGCGCTGCTGTTTTAATTGTAATGCCTCCTGATCTAGAAGTTAGGATATATTTGCCCAAAATAAATAAACTTTAATGCACATATGATGCCGAAGAGCTGTGTTTAAATTATTCATCTAAAGAAGCAAGAAATGAAACATATTAGTTAAAGGAGATGATTGTCTTGCCCTGCAAAGTCAGTAAGTAGACCCCAGTTAGCAGCTCTCACTTACAGTCTCGTAGAAATCCAAAACAAAGCTGAGCAGGAGAGAGTGGCAGCCCTCCAGCTGCAGGCCCACGGAGGCCAGCCGACCCACAAAGCAAACCAAGTCCATCACAGAGTCCTTGAACCCTGACAGGGTAATGTTTCTGAGTAGGGGATAGAGCAGAGCAAAGAGTCACACACAAAAAGAGTCCTATAACTGAAAGCATTCCAACACCCTGCAGAAAACAAGAGAAAACTTATCCAGACTGGTGTTGATAAGGAAAGATTTACTCAGTGATCGCTCTGATGTCATCTGCAGGCTCTGAAGTGCCAGGAATTCCTCAGTTTAGCCACAGAAGTTGAATTAACCACTACGTAAAATGCACCGATTTACCAAATTGTTACAAAAAGATGCCAATCAAAGTTTGCCTCTTCAAATTTGAAGGTGCAACAGTGCAGGTTTCCAGGGCCCATACGTTTATTGGTCAATATCACAACAAGGCTCCAGTTGTTCTACCCCTCTGGGGGTTTAATAGAGTGGATGTAAAACTCACATGGATGTGTGGCTGTGGAGGCTGATGTCCAGGTCGTCTTCCAGAGCGTACACAGAGTGCCAGGTCAGCCACTTTAGCAGCATGTTGTTTAAACATTCAATCAGTCCACACTGCAGACACACACACAGAGGGAACGCACAGAGTTTACAGCAGATCAAACTCTCAACTGGTACAGGTTTGTAATGAAGACAAGGTGAACCCTGCTGCCCATTCCATATGAAGATTCAGTCCTTATAGAGAAACAGCTTAGACATGGTTCAGGGTTGCTGCACATTTTTAGGAATGGATTTAAAACTTATTTTTAAGTATTTAGTTCGTACTGTTTGAAATCAATTTCTGGCAGATATTTCTGGATTGCTCAGGGTGGATGGATGAGATAAGTAGCAATTGACTGGCTGACAAAAAGATGGATTAACACACTGTTGAAGGGAAGGACACAAAGGGAAGAGTGGTAGGAGGAATTAACGGACAATTTAATCTAGAAATCATTGCCTTAACAGATGAAAGGATGGATTGATGAAAAGATTATGGATGGATGGAGTTTTTGAAAATAGGAAAAACTCTGTAAAACCACCTTAGGTTGTATAAGGCCCACAAAAATTCCTGATATTCCCCGGAATGTGCAAAAGCCCTGAAGTTTTAACAAGGTTGTGCAAAAAATGGGAAAACATACCTTAAAAAACAGCGAGGATGTGAAGAAGAGCTGCATGAGAGGCTCAAACAGAAGTACTTCGATCTCTGAACAGAAAAGAAAATGTCACAATAGGTTCCTGCCCCATAACTCAGACATTTTCTAATAAAATCCCCTCACTTCTGCCTCATAGTACTAAATACCAGGTGAAAGGCCGTCCCTTTAAGCAAAACATTCCAAATTAGCACTTAGCTTTTCATTCTGACACTCACGTGAGCTGGGAATGACAGGAATGTTACTCAGAAGGCCGAGGATCTGCGGACGCAGCAGAGATCCATCCCAAATGTTGAGAAATTTGTAGAGGAAAGCATCAGAACTGTGAAACCCCTCCTGATGAAAACAAAAAGGTATTATTTAAGAAACAAATTGGGGTTAAAGAGGTTTTAGCAACGGGAAGTGATGAACGCATGACATGAAGTGCTCACCTGCAGGAACTGCTGTGCTGAGAGCAGCTTGTTTAAAAACTGGAGAGCTTCTTCTGCATTCTGGCCGGCTCCTCCGTCGGTGCAGAATAGAAATTCTGAACAAAAACAGCAAAAAAAAAAGTAGAGAATTCAGTGAATCAAACAGACAGAAAAAAAAACACCATCAGGAGATTCAGTACGAACCCTACGGCACTTTTTAAACTGCCTCCTAAAAGAATTCCCTTTGATATGCCAAACTAAGTAATCCGCTGTAGTTCAGCTCAAGGTCTTTGCTTTGAGAGAAACCCTCTCCCCCCATAGAGGATGTCACAGCAGTTTAGCAGCTTCCCCTCCCCTGCTCCTACCTCCCGTTTCATTTACCTTCGTGGAGAGCGTAGCCCAGCCAGAAGTTGAGGCGTAGGAGGGCAGACTCATCCTGCACGCAGTCCAGGTACTGCAGAGCCAGACGGGAACCCAGCAGAGAGCCCATCTGAGCAGGCAGCTGTTGGAGGTAAAATCAGGTAAAAAAAGGAAACCCAGAGAGGGCTTAATTATCACATCCTCGCAACACAGACAGCAATGCAGATGCAAATGAAAAAACACACACAGAAAGTCAAACATCACATTAAAATGCTCATCTGTGGAAATGGCTCCCTCATTTTACTTTATGATCATGATTACCTGCTGGACATTAGGAATGACAATGTTCTTGTTTTTACATGAAGGGGAAGGAGAGATAATGTGCACATCCACTGATGCTCTAATTACTGGTATACAGTGATGCAACAGCAGCTGCCTCTCAACATGGGGATGTTGCCAGTTTTAGAGATAAACTTGAACAAAAAGGAGAAATACTACGAGTGGTCACGATTGAGCATCTCAACAGATGTCTCATTAAACTAAGAAAAACACTATTTGTCTCCTGACTGTAGAAATGAAGGGATGAAGGGTAGAGTCTGTGATCATTTGTCAATAGAATTGGTTTATACAGGCGACTGATTGCAGTCATCGATTCCTTCAGAAACATGACAAAGTACAAACACTTTAGCTTCTCTTTTAGAAGTGGAGGGGCTCTCTGGCGCGCTGTCCGAACAAAGAGCCAGATTTATGAGAATGAAAACACACATTTAAACAGAAATCATTTTAGTTTAGTTTTTCAGAATGGATCAGCTTCTTATGGTGTCTGTTTAATACATAAGTCTGTGTGTGTGTGTGTGTGTGTGTTTATATAAATAAAAGTAAAGTGAATGGGAGCCACAGAGCCCATGAAGCAGGTTTATGCTCTAATCTAATAAAACAATTACAGCCATAGGGCCACCTGTGCCAACATTCCAGATTAGACGGTACCACAGCGCCACCATGTGGCCAACAAGTTGCTTCACGTGCTTCTGTGTTACATTATTGCTTCTGTTTGAATTAGATTTCTCACGCTGAGGTCAATGTGTGTAAAACAGCTTAAAGAGGACTCTTGGTCAATTGATTTTCTCTACTATTATGTTTATATGGACTCCAAATTACCTAACTGATTCCAAAATGGCATAACTGATATTTGCTTTAAGAGCAAAGCATGCAAAGCAAAGCATTTAAAGTATTTTAATAATGATATTCCCGAAAGAGGCAACAACAAAGAGAAGAAATGTATCTCCTAAAGTTCACTTCTGTCTTAAAATTCACTTTCTACTGTCAGGGATCCAGAATATTTTCTCAATTATCGAATATAATTCTATCTTTAGTGTTTTTAGTTCATTTTTAAACGTCTAAATACACGACTCAGTGATTTATAAAGCGAGCAATGGAGGGAAGAAGAGAACCTTTAGTCAGTTCTCTAAATCTCTTATTTCCACACTAAAATGTCCACATTTCCTAGTTCAGATATCTCTTCAATGGTCAAGTTAAAATATTTAAACTATAGGGAACTTTTCCATCCTTGAAAAGGACAGATGGACAGACAGTGGGATACATACCTCAATCTGATGCATGTTTTTCAACAGCTGCTCAAAAGACTGGATCTGCACAAGGGGGACCAGCTTCCTACTGGAGGTCTGCTCCGTATTCACCCCAGTGTTGGTGACGCGGCTCAACTCTGGTAGCTCCAGGTGCCTGTGTCTCTGTAAGAGCAACAGAGAAACCGATTCTTACTTTACATAAACTTTCATTAAAGTTTTAGACACGTTATTACCTAATATTTGGATTATTTAGTTTTAGATGGATGTCACGATTCAGTCTTTAAACATAAAGGATTTAACTAATAAATATGTATTAACCAAAAATAGATAATTTATCCCACGTGTTTTCACATTATAATATTCTGACAACAGAACACCTTAAATATAAATCTTGTATCAACAACTGGTGGTTTACCAATGTTAAATTGGGTATCGCGATTTATTATTCAATGAGGAAAAATACCATCATACACATTATCAGAAAGCTTTAAACAAAATAAAAAAAAAAATAAAAAAAACCACAGGTGTTTCCAAAATTTAAGCCACTGGTAAAAAAAAAAAAGTTGAGTCTTAGTAATAGTGCAAATAGAATGAAACTGCTCCCATTTGACGGCTAACACATTTTTTCCACTGCATTGAATGTATTAATATAACAAAGGAAACATTATGTACATTCTGTTGGTGCTTTCAGCAAGGCGTGGCGTCCCATTATGCCAGGATATAAGCTGTGGTTCAGAGATGAGTAGAGTTTGCTTCAATTTTATTCTTCAATACTCTTCGAACAAAGCTGTTCAAATCAAATACCATGAACTCAATGCTATTCCTGACATTTTAAATTGAAAAAGCTTCCAAGATGGGAAGCGGAATGTTTTCAAACTCGGAAAACAAGTCCAGTGGATTGTTTTTTTTAAAGATTTTTGTGGCCCCTGAGCTCAAAGCAACCTCTGTTATCTCAAACCCAGAATATCACAACTATGAAGTACTCTTCATTCTGTTTAATGAGCCTCTGGGGAATATTCTGTTTGTTTACCTTCATCTTATGATTCATGAAACAGAGTCATATGATTCAGATGTTTTTTTTTTCTTTGGTCATTTTGAGCATTACTGCTTTCGGGCAAGTAGACATTTTCTTACCCAAGACCAACGAAAAACGTTTTGTTTTTTTATACAGAACAGTTAAAAGTCGACAAAATCATGTGAAAGCTAATGTGACAGCTGTCAGTAAAAATCTGAAATAGAAAGGTAAGCCATGGTGAATAAATTGGTGATGACAGACTGATTTAATGGTGGTAAGTTAGGTGGAAGGGAAAACTGTGCTACAAACACAGAGGTATAACCACAGCCTAAAAAGAAGGGTAAAAATCTAGATGGCTTCTGGAATGCATTTGATGTAAAATTAGAATTTTGTTTTCAAATCAGGGTCAAGATTAACATTGCTGGGGTTAGTTTCAAGCCGTCTATAAATCTTTTGTATGTGTGTCATTTTCTGAGCAGCTGTATTTGGGGTTTACATTTAGCTGTGACCAATAATGATCACAATGATCAGATACAAACTAAATAATATGAGCATCTAGACGAACTTTGTTACAGTCGCTGAGGTGAGGTTAAAAGTTGCAGCGATACTGGAGGAACAACTCAAGTGCTGCAAAGCTAGCTCGTTTACAAACACAGAGAAAGATATGCTGGGTAACGCACCCTTTTCCGAGAGCCGGTTTTGTTTTTGAGAGTGAAGTTCAGACTGATGCTGGAGGCGACCTGCAAACTGCCCCTCTTCTGGAGCGCCATCAAAGCCGACTTCCATGGGGAGATGTGATTCTTAAACCCGCTCTGTGGGAAATTAAACAACACTTATGTTTAATCACCTAGTAGACCTCTTAGACAGGAAGTGTTAAAACAGCTTCAAATTGGTAACAAGTATACAAACCCTCATCCGGGATGGAATGGACAGCGTCACCAGTTCAGGGCAAAACACTTTATAAAGTGAAAGAAGGTGCAGGAGATACGGCTGCCTTCCCTAGAGAGGTGACAAAGATTTACAACATAAAAATATATTTGCACATTCCCTCAGTACAACATTCACTTCTCTTTTTTATATGAATACTTTTCAAAATGCTGTATGGTTATAAATTTGAGGAAATTGTCTAAGGATAAAAGCAGAACTTTTGTTTTGTTGCAAAAAATCCTCCCTCATCCTCAGCTTGATTTATCACAGGCGATAGAATTACCTAGGAATTACCCTGGACCTTCTATGTTAAATCTGCTATTGATCTTAAACTCTAATATCCTCCATGGCTTTGCTCTGAAATAACTGTGACTTGTAACTGAGGAGTTGCCCTCAAAGCAGATGTGAGAAACGATCAGAGCCCTGCTGGTTAGTCTGAGCTCCCTATGGGCACTTGTAGCTTTTATTTACACTCCACCTGAACACAAACCAAACTTAGAGGCCCTATTTAGGAAGGAAGGAATTTCAAATTCAAAAATTCCCAACATTTCCATATCAGTGAAATTATTTGGGAAGCTTACCAGTTTAGACTGCAGTTCCAGTAGCTTCCTGACTCTGAAGACACGCACTATGGTGAAAAGATGCACAGTTAATTAATAACTGTTTGTTGCTTCGGATTTAAGCTTGTTTTGTGATCTACTGTCAGTACAACCTATAGAAATGTTAGGGACACTGAGAGGAGAAATTATGAGATGACAAATATTGGCAATGTGAGGATAGATTGCTTACCATTTTCTTTTCTGGTTAACAGGTACAACAAGTGGCAGATAAAAGGGCACTAAAAAAAGAGGAATTAGAAGAAGAAAATGTCACTTTTTTCACAAATACACACACTCATAAAACCTGTTCTAACATTAAGGCATGACTGAAATTCCAACTTTTGAATACTAATGAAATGTGGCATAAGACAGGAGTCAAAAGTGCATTTAGGTTTAGCATGAAAAAGACCAACACTAAATAAAAGAGGTGCCGCTAGTCTGCATCTCAGATGAAGAGCGAACTAAACAACAAGCTGGTATTGATAGGGAGATGTTCGACCTTTAAACAGGAAAGACACTGAGCTGAATAGAGGGTAGGGCCAGTTATCCACCCTACACTGGTGACTTTAACAGCCCCGTTAGTGTGACTCTTTTCACCTCTCAAAAGGTGAATCAGCTTAAAAAAAAAACAAAAAAAACTGGGATTTAGTTCCTTGTCTCCTAAGCTGGTGGGCCTCTCTGCCATCACTTTTACCTTTAGATACCGTACCCCATCAGATTAATCAGTGCTAATTATTTCTTCTAGTCTGAAAAGAAATGCTGGTAGGAATTTTTTAAAGTAATTTATTTCAATTAAAATAAAAATGACCAAAACCTCAGTCTGACAAGCATATGAAGTTTCAGGATTCCAAATGCTCATGATAAAAGAAAAAAAAACATGGCTGCTTTTCCCAGCAGCTTGAAAGCGTTTCTAAGTATTATGATAAATCAATGAAGAGAATACGAGTCACATACCAGATTTTCATCAGTGATGAAGCTGAAGATGAAGCCATATATAGCTCGCAGCTTATCCTTTGCATCGATCATGTCAAATACAGTCAACACCCACTTTATAAACAGTACCTAAAGATGTCATGGAGGAAAAAAAAAAAAAAAAAGACACACAAGTTCAACCAAACATAACTAACTGAGGAAAAAATTTAGCCAACCTGCAAACATAAGAACAGGAAATCTTGCTCCAACATACTTATTGAGGAATAAAAAAAGGGTGTGTAACCTACAATAATAACACAATTCCAATGTTAATATGTATACATGTTGGATTTGTCACAAACCTGGGTGCTGATGGGTATTTTCCCCACACTGAGCCAAACTACGGCTCGAAAAACAGCTTCCTGTGGCACCACCGAGTCAGGGATCAGACACTTCAGTACTCGCGCACATGGACTGCTCCCTGCACATAATAAACCAGAAGAAGGTGCTAATGTTAATTCTAAGTGTAGGTGAACAGATGCCCAACACATAAACATGGCATTTTCCACAACAAAAGAAAAAGTTTCTAAATGCCATAATAAAAGACACTGATTGGGGAATAAACCATATCCCTTTTACATAATAAGGGATTTAAGCACAAACTGGAGATTTATCAATTCAATTTTTTTTAAGGCTGATTTGGAAAACGATCATTCTGACATCAATCCAACCAATCCCTAAAATGTGTTGCCAATTTCTCGGGCCCGTTTTTGAAACAGATATTGGCCATAAATATTGGCTGACCGACATGTGGGTCTACCTCTTTCCCTCAATGGTCTGAATAAAACTGAAAAAAATGGAGGCAGACTAAGTACTTGAAATTTGTTGCTGATGGAATAAATCGTGGAAAAAGTCTATTCAATAACAAAATACTAACTGAAATTATACTAATATTTCCTAATAACATACCTACGATTTGTATGTAATTAGGAAAAATGGCCAAAATGATAAAGTTGCAATGAGATGCTGAGTGACAGACTTACCCATGCGAAGGCTCATAGCGAACTCCAGCATAACAGAAACGGCCTCTGGGGACAGTCCTTTGCTGAATGCCACCTTCTCCACCTGTGCCAGGTGGTTTTCAAACTCATCGTTCCCGACTACAGGAGTCCCCACTTCCACTAAAAGGAAGAGGAAAAAGTCAAGGAAGACATATAGATATGAAAGAAGAGAAAGTTTCAATTTTTAACTGTATAGCATAACATGACCTAATTAAAGGTATAGAGGACGATCTTTTATTTCTGTGTGGATCATCTAAATAAGTGGTCCTCCTAATTGTCAGTCCTTCTGGTGATATGTTTATGTAAGGCTGTCTTACATTCCTGTCCCGTTAGGATTGGTTTCAGAGAGTAATTGGAGCTCACTTCTCTCAGCGCAGTTCTGGCCGAGCATCATAAGAGAAAAAGTGTCTATGAAGTGTACGAGAAGTAAAGAAAGGCCTCAGAAGAGGCAGATATTTCCTGGAATGCTTTGCGCGGAGAGCTGTCCCAGCACAGCATTATGTGATTTGCTGTTACAGCAGCCCGCTGTCGCCATAGGCTGCCGCTACCTGAGAGCGACGACTAATAACAAAGATGGTGCAGGCACCATGCAGTGGACCAACGAGGAAGTGATCATCTGTCCGAACGGTAAGTTACCTGAGTTTGCTATAAAGTCCCTGCTCTATATGGTGATTTAAGAGATTGAGGGGTTAGGTCGGACGTTAGGACAAAGTATAGAGCTGTGTATACCCCTGCAGCAGCGTGTTGCAGTTAGCTTGCCGAAGATATGACGCAGATATTTATAATTAAGCCCAATTTTGAAGCATGGTCTGCCCTATGTTATTCCATTCCACAACGCAAGTGGGACAATCACAAACTGGCTAGGATTATGAGCGTGGCGTGTTCCTCTTCAGGTTACGGAGGTCATTCAACAACAATGGTGACTGGACCAATGCGGACTTTCAGTCGTGCAGGTGTGGGTACTTCCTCACTTCTTGGCAGACTCGCTCTTTTAGCTGGTCCATCTTCACGGGTCATTTTACATACAAACAAAACAAGCCGGTAAGAAATTGGCTTGTGCATGTTCTCGCATGCGCATTTATTTTAAAGTGGAGAGGAGAGGAGGAGTGGAGTCTTTTAAAAAATTAGAGAAAAACCTCCACAATACCTTTAAACAACTCAACCAAGTTTGGTTAGAATATAAATGCAAAGGTAAGACCAGACCGGCTAAAGGTCAGATATCTATACGGGATTAATTACAAGATCAAAGCCTGATGAAAATTCTGTTCACAAACAAATTCCCATTAAATACTTTGTCAAGTTTGGGACTATGAATTGAGTCAACGGAATGTTTTTGTTTTATTTAATATAGGGCCTATATTTTCACAGCGTAATTCTGCCATTGTTGCTGTTCTAATTTTTTTTAAAGAACAAACTCCCATTCACAGTACAGTGATTTAGAGCATGAAACGGGCCTTGAAAGTCAGCCCGAAACCGACCCGAGTCCGAAAGAACCAGGCCCGTGCCCGGCCCGTTATGATTGACAGCTTCGTAGAGCCCGACCCGTTTGCAGCCCGACATTTTTCAATTGTGCGCATTAAGGGCTAATCTCCGTTTCACTTCTGTAACATCCATTTTGCATTCATCTCGTATAAATCGAACGTTATCACATGATCATTTATTTGCCGCGCATATAACGGTTTAAAGCCCGAGCCCGGCCCGGCCCGAATGAAATAATAAAAAGTACAGCCCGAACCCGCCCGAACCCGGCAGGACCTCTCGGGTCCCGTCGGGTTCGGGCTAATATTCCCTGCTCTACAGTGATTGGCATTTAATATTTATCATGTTTTATGTGACAGTAGCTGTAGAACACTTGCACTGATCTGAATGTGAATTTTTAGGCGGCCTGTGGTGTGTTTACATCAAACTCCTTTTAATTTGGGCTTGTCATATGCAAATTGTCTATTTTCCTATAAACAAAACTAAAACTAGACCATTTCTGTTGATATTCATGCAGATTCTATTAACTCTGCAAAATGCTGTCAAATCTAATAGAGAACCTGTGATGAGAGACAAAGATTATGGCGACAGTAAATGACATACAGTGGGTATGGAAAGTTTTCAGACCCCTTGAAATTTTTCACTCTGTCATTGCAGCCATTTGATTTTATTTCTCGTTAATGTACAATCAGCACACCATCTTGATAGTAAAAAAAATAAACAAATGTAGAAATTTTAGCAAATCTGTTAAAAAATAAAAAACTGAAATATCACATCATCATAAGTATTAAGACCAGTGCTCTTCTCAGGTCTCTCTCCATTGGGTTTAGGTCGGGGCTCTGGCTGGGCCAGTCAAGAATGGTCACAGAGTTTTTCCCAAGCCAATCCTTTATTATTTTAGCTGTGTGCTGAGGGTCATTGTCTTGTTGGAAGGTGAACCTTCTGCCCAGTCTCAGGTCTATAGCACTCGAAGAGGTGTTTTTCCAGTATATGTGTACTTGGCCTCATTCATCTTTCGTTCAATTGCAACCAGTCTTCCTGTCCCTGCAGCTAAAGAACACCCCCATAGCATAAAGCTGCCACCACCGTGTTTCCCTGTTGGGATTGTATTGGACAGGTGATGAGCAGTGCCTGGATTTCTCCACACATACCGCTGAGAATTAAAGCCAAAAAGTTCAATCTTGGTCTCATCAGACCAGGGAATCTTCTTTCTCATAGTCTGGGAGTCCTTCTGTCGGCCACTCTGCCTTAAAGCCTCAACTGGTAGAGGGCTGTAGTGATAGTAGACTTTGTGTAGACTTTCTCCCATTTCCCTCCTGCATCTCTGGAGCTCAGTCACAGTGATCTTTGGGTTCTTCTTTACCTCTCTCACCAAGGCTCTTCTCCCACAATTGCTCAGTTTGGCTGGACGGCCAGATCTAGGAAGAGTTCTGGTCGTCCCAAACTTAATCCATTTAAGGATTATCGAGGCTACTGTGAACTCTTGTGCCACTCTTAGGAACCTTGAGTGCTGCAGACATTCTTTTGTAACCTTGGCCAGATCTGTTCCTTGCCACAATTCAGTCTCTGAGCTCCTTGAGCAGTTCCTTACATGATTTTCGTTGGATTATATAGACAGGCGTGTGCCTTTCCTAATCCAAGTCCAATCTGTTTATTTAAACAAAACTGGACTACAACAAATGAGGAGAATCATCTCAAGGAGTCTCAGAAAAGATGGACAGCATGTCAGTTAAATACGAACGTCAAAGCAAATGGTCTGAATACTTATGAAAATATGATATTTCAGTTTTTCTTTCTTTAATAAATTTGCTAAAATTTCTACATTTTGGGGTTTTTTTTCTATCAAGATGGGGTGCTGAGTGTACAATACATCAATGCTAAATGAAATGAACTCTATTGATTTTAGCAAATGGCTGCATAGAAACAAAGAGTGAAATATTTAAAGGGGTCTGAATACTTTCCGTACCCACTGCATGTGGAAGACTTTGTTTTTGTAAGAGTCTGATTGCTGTAAGGGCAAGAAAAATTCTAAAAATGTTGTGTTTTTTTTTCACCGATTACTGAGATTGAGCAAAACAATTTATGGGATTATTTGTTTACCAAATAAAGCCAAACTTTGAAATAACATTTAGATGCATGTACACTGCATCCTGTTGAATACAGAAATATATTATATATTCTCCTTTAGACATTACATAAAGCTTGGTAATCTTAAAACAAGGTTGTATGGGGACATGCCTACTTCTTATGTATTATCTATTTATTCACATTTTGTGAACTAAAATGTTTTGTTTCTCATTTTATAAGATGTTAAGCCTCTTTTTCCCTTTTCAGACTGAACTTTCTATTTTAATCCTTCGAAGAAGACTGAGGAGAAAGTAGAATGAAGTTAACGAAACAGGAACATCTGTAACATGTTTACAGTCCACAAGAGTCTGTTAGCTCTGCGTCACGCTAATACACCAGACGATAGGTAAAGACGATTTATGTCCACAATATGACTTAATTGTTTAATCCCTATTGTTCTTTTTTTCCCACCAAACGTTTATGACTGTATTGTGAAGAATGTCGGACTCATTCAGATGACTATTAATCCAACTGTCGTTGTGTGGGACCTACCCTCAGAGAAGTACTTCAGGGCCAGAACAAACGGCTTCTCCGCCTCATTCTTCCTCTTCTCCTGCTCTGCGAGTCTCAGGCTTCTGTGTATCCGACTGGACACCGACTCTTCGCTAGAAGCCGAAAGGTCCGAATCCGACAGGCTTACCAATTTAGCCATTTCTACATTGCTAGACCAGTTAAAAACACAATCCCCTCCCCAGCTCCGACTTAGCCATTCAAACTGCAAATCTTCCGCGCCGACCGTTTGTCCTGCGCATGCGCAGTAGCATCCATCCTGTAAAGTGCTGCATGGGAGTTGTAGTCCGTTCAGCTTCTACTTCTTTTTTTTATGGCGGTTGTTAAGCAACTTATTGATGTGCATTACCGCCATCTACTGGAATGGAGTATGGATGGGGATGCAAAATACATACATATATATATATATATATATATATATATATATATATATA